GACGCGTTTCGTAGTCCACGGATTTGAGGCCGGCAACCATTCTCGTGGCGACTCGCTGGACACGCTCGATGAGGGTGGCGTCTTTCGTGCGTCCTGAATGGTCAAATTGGTTGGCGTATTTCATGAGCGGTCTGACTTAGGCCCCATAGAGTATTTGGAAGTCCATGTGAGTAATACGGGAGGAGGTGCGTCAGGTCATCCGTAGGATCACCCGTTTATGATTATACTATATAAGTCAGGATAGGTTCCTAGAACGACAGTCTGAGCCAAATGGTTCTTCGAGGAACGCAGAGGAGTTCCCAACGCTGCGGAGATGGAAGGGTTACATCAGTCTCATTGCTTATCAGGTCCAGATTCAAGAGAAAACCATTCTATGACCATACATCAAACAAACCGCGTGAAACGTGTTTCGGCTTGCTTACCTGGAGACCGACTGATCGTGCAACCGAGGTGTAATCGTGGTCGATATAAAGATTAATCCTGTTCCACAAATGTTGAGTGCCATTTGAGAAGCAAGACTTTCTCCTGATGGCTCTTCAGCCCGCATCTCAACATTCTGTGTGTGCTTGGGGCTTTCTCCGTCATAACTTGTTTATTTGTCTCCTAATCGACAATAAACACAATAACCTGTACTTCTGGATCTCCAAAGAATGTTATCTGTCGACTGATTTGCTTAGGTGCGTTACTCAATTACTGGCTGGGAGCTCTGTGTCTGGAATACCAAAAGCAGCCATGATTGAGTTTTGTCGTATAGTGGAATGCTTCACGCCTGCTGTGTGCATGTGTGCAGAAATTAGATTCGAGATTTTATTCCTTCCAAGTAACCCTCAGTGCCCACAAAAATTCGCTCCTATTGCGCGTAGATGCTCTTCGAAAGCAACGGTTAACAGGAAAGTACCTCGAATGGTCGCTGCAAACGGTCACTTTCTTTGCCCAAAATATAAGCACTGTGGCGGCACCCCACTCGATCCGCGTCACAAACATTCAAATCGCGTTATGATTCTGGTTTTACTTACAACCCTAGCTGACAACATGCACACCACAGTTTACAACCCATCTCTGTTCACGCGCCTGCCTCCTGCGACACGCGCTAGGCTTACGAATCGCAACCACATCAGGTCGAGTTTTATTGGTTTTCGAGCGACCACCGAACACGGATGGACACCCCTCTCTTCATGCCGCATGCAATGAAAAGGCATGCAACTAGGCTCAAAAACACCCGCGTGAACCGGAAAGGAGATCAACCGAGCTCCACAAGTTTCCACGGGCAACAACAGAACACGTGTAGCAGCTACACAGCAGGAAAGCTGTCAGGAGCGTTCCAGGGACTGCAGACCTATTCCCTTGCGTCCATTTTACCTTCGAGACGTTACAGTTCTATTCCAGTTATAATATCTCGAAAATCTGGTGAACATTCCAGGAAGCTGAAGGCCTCACAGTTCTTATATATTTGAATACTCTAACCGCACCGACGCTCTGCGTGCTTATACAGATTTGCTCCATAATTTTGTACTGTAATATCATATGTCAGCAAACTAAAACCGTGCTTGATCGGTAGTCTATTTAACACAATTCTACTCCTGATCGGACCCATTTATTCACTTGTAATCACCGCCTTAAATGTAGTGAACCTTAAGATTTTTCCTCCGTTAATCCGCTTCATCCCTTCTGATGCCTCATCAAACTCACCAGACATTACTGATCTCATCCCATTCCCTTGTCTTCCTAAGCACCGAAATTTGGTAACAACCGAGTCGAACGCCATGTGTGACTATCACATACTTCAACTGACCCGCGATTTGCATCCATATGGATTCCCAACCGAACTGTAGAAATACCTGCGACCATACATTGACTTCGTTCTACTTCTGCGGATTCCTGTGGCCTACCAAACAAATCCCACTGCTCACAAAACATTCCACATCCCAGCCCGACCACCTCAATTATGACGTCCGCCAAGGGGCTGTCCAGAAGCCGGAGTATGTCAGCACACTGATAGTACGGCTATGCCATATCCAGTTTGACAACATACTCACGATATTCACTTCCTACTTTTGACGGTATCCTCTCGCCCACTTGTTCCCCAACCTGCGACTGCGTACAAAAACTTCACCTGGCCGCCTCCACGGTGCGTTCATTCCAGTCCGCTAAACCGGCCGTTCAGATCCAAACATCTAGGTGACTTTCAGTGTGTGCTTCCCACAAAGCTATTCATTTTCTGCGCAGTTCATGTCCTTTCTTGTGCGCTTGTGCCTTTTCCCTAACCAAGGACCTTTTACGCCGGGTTCCTCTACGACATCGGCATCAGTGAGTCTCTACAGATTTAGTGTGCACCGTGGCTTTGAGATCCCCGCCGCTGTTCATCCGTGCTGCTGATTCCTCTAATTTACCATTACCAATCGAATTTTTTGTGATCTTGGCAGTTGTCAAAACAGTCCAAGGCCACTAGGCCTCATCGGCCACTCGCCGATGAGGCTTCGCAGTTTTTAATTTTAAGGGGAGTTAGTCTAATCCGTTCGAAACTTCCGGTGATCCGTTGCTCGGGGAATTTTCCAGGTGGGCAAAAGTTTAAAGTCACGGACCATCCTCGATTCTCATTTTGTTGTCGGTACACGAGAGATAAATCATGAAATAGCACCCCAGCACATTCTGGCGTTAATTAGCGTTCTGTAACAGCGAGATAACATCTACAGAATATCCAGTGCAATTCCTCCCTGGAAGACCGTCAGTCACGTTTGATTACCTTATACGCTTAGGATTTAACAACCAACATGAACTTGTTCAGCGAACTTTGTCAAGACGCATGTTTCCATGGAGCTCGCCTTCCATTAGGTATAGCAATGTTCGACAACCTCGTGAATTTTAAGCGACTATTCAAATGCCATCACTGTGGATAATCCCCGATCTCAGGCATGCAGAAAAACCTGTGGATAATAAAATGTGGACTTGGTGCCACCGATACACAGTTCGGTGGGCGCCAATGATTTCAATTAAGGCACATGGATAACTCCGAACACATGTTGCAGTTGCACACAATAGTTTCTGAGCAGAAGTTATTTCTGAAACAACGAAAGCCACTTAATCACACGGTACCTCACACTCGAGACATCTTCCAGAACAAACAGACCATATAACTATCAACTGTGAGATTCATGAGTTATTTGTTGATTGTCATTTGCTTCGGAGTATTATTTTGGGTTCGGAATTAGCGCTTTTTTCGTGTCTCAGCGGGAATTTCAGGGGAGCACACAATGCGCACGCCTCATTTGGCCGCTGAGAAGCTCTCCAAATTTCACACAAAGCGAGTCTACCAAATCAACTTACCAAAACTCCCTTAGGACACCACGTATTCTGACGTTGACTCTTAGCATCCGCAGCCATACAAGA